CTCTGGGCTTGGGCAGGAGGGAGCTCAGAGGGGGTACAGGGCTTTTGAGGAGGACTAGCCCCCCATCAGGCTGGTCAGGGGACAGCCTGTGGGTCGCCCCAACGTCATGTGTGTGTCCCCAACGTGGTGACTCTCGTCCCTCCCAGGTGGTGCGGTCGGCGGCCACCAGCGGAGCAGGCAGCACCACCTCGGGCGTGGTTTCAGGGAGCCTGGGCTCCCGAGAAGTCAACTACATCCTTCGGGTGTTGGGTCCCGCTGCCTGCCGCAGCCCCAACGTCTTCACCGAGGTGGCCACTGGTTGTATCCGTATCGCCCTGCCGGCTCCCCGCGGATCCGGCACCGGTGAGCCTCGGGGAAGGCGTGGGGTGGGGAGCACGGAGTCCAGCGGCAGTCCCTCTGATCCAAAATGGGGTCCCGTGGGTCCCTGTGGCTTCAAAATGGGGTCCCGTGGGTCCCTGTGGCTTCAAAATGGGGTCCCATGGGTCCCTGTGGCTCCAAGATGGGGTCTCAGGGGTGCCTGTGGCTCAGAAATGGGCGGTCACAGGGGTCCATGTGGCTCCTGTGGGTGCCTGCAGCTCCAAAATGGGGGTCTCAGGGGTGTCTGCAGCTCCCATGGGTGCCTGTGGCTGAGAAATGGGGGTCTCATGGGTGCCTGTGGTTCCAAAGTGGGAGTCCTAGGCGTCCCTGTGGCTCCCATGGATGCCTGCAGCTCTGAAATGGGGTCCCATGGCTCCCTGTAGGTCCAAAATGGGGGTCCCAGGGGTCCCTGAGGTTACCGTGTGGGTGCCTGTGGCTCCAAAACGGGGGTCCCACAGGTCCCTGTGACCCCAAAATGGGGATCCCCAGGGCCCCTTTAGATTCAAAATATGGGGGTCCCACAGGTCCTTTTGGCCCCAAAATGGGTCCCTACAGGTCTGGCACCCACAAGCCCTATACAAGGTGACAATGTGGGGGTCCCACAGGTTCCTGTGACCCCAAAATGGTGGTCCCAGGAGTCTTTTTACCCCCAAAATGGGGATCCCACAGGCCCCCATGGCTCTGGCACCCACAAGCCCTATACATGGTGACAACATGGGTGTCCCAAGGATCCCTTTAACCCCAAAATGGGTTGCAGGTGTCCCTTTGCCCCCAAAATAGGGGTCCCAGTTGGTCCCTTTACCCCCAAAATGGGGACCCTAGGGGTCTTTTTAAGCCCCCCAAAATAGGTCCTACATGTCCCTTTGGTCCTAAAATGGGGCTCCCACAGCTCCAGCACCCGCAAACTCTATACAGGGTGACAACCTGGAGGTCCCCCAAATCCCTGGGGATCTTCCTGACACCCCCTTTCTCCCCCCACATAACAGCCTCAGACGATGAATTTGAGAACCTGCGGATCAAGGGTCCCAATGCAGTGCAGCTGGTGAAGACGACGCCGGTGAAGCCGGCAGCGCTGCCAGCGATCCCTGACCCCATCAAGGACGTCATTTACGACATGCTCAATGCCCTGGCTGCCTATCACGCGCCTGAAGAGGGTACTGATGATTTTGGGGGACCCCCCGGGAATTATACAACCCCCTTGGCGATTATACTCCTGCCCGGGGGATTAGAGTCACCCCCTGGGGAGTTTTGGGGGGCAGTGATGAGGAGGAGGAAGATGGGGGACACTGGGAAGTGGATAGCTATGGAGCATGAAGAAGTGGGGTGCCCCCCATAGAGGGGGGGGAAATTGGGGTGCCCCCAGGGGGTGTGGGAGGAATTGAGCTGTCTACAAGGAGTGGGATGTTCTTGGGGGGAAGAATTGGGGCGCCCACAATGGCATGCACCTGTGGGTCAGAGACCCTGGGCAATTTGGGGGTGTCCCTAAGGCTTTTCTTTGGGGGTAGTCCCTTCACATGTGCCCCCTGCCTCCCCTGAAGGTGATAAGGGGGACCCCAAAAGCGCGGCCCCCAGTGAGGTCAGCCAGCTCCTCTCCGACATCGGGGATGACATGTACCAGCAGTACCGCAGCCTGACGCGCCAGCCCGGTGACTTCGACCCCCCCGCTGGCTTCGCCATCAATGTCAGTGGGGGACAGGGGTTTTGCGGGGG